TGCCGGGAGCCGCGGGGCGCCCAGGCCCCAGGGCGGCAACTGCCCCGGCCCCTGCTCCCGCCCCAGCCAGGGCAGGCCCGAGGGTTGCCTGCGTCCCTGCACCGCCCCCTGCCGTTCCTTCCAGGACGGGCGGGGGCGTCCTGCTGCCGCCTGTGCAGCCTGGCCCGCAGTCCTTGCATCCGCTTCGGAGCTGCATCGCCGCCAGCCACCCCAGTAATTCTCCTGGTGGTTTATTTTCAGAGACAGCCCTGGAAGGAGGAGAAATGCAAGAGGAGGGAGAGTGAGAGGGGGTAAGACACTTCCAGGAAAATCCAGGGAACAGTGTGAGTGGCTCCAACGGGAGGTGCCCTCCCCTCTGGCTCAGAACTAATGCGGGTCCCTGGGGTGGGTACAGCTCGTGCACAGGGGCGGGTGGTGGGTGCCCAGAGCGCATGATCTGGAGCACTACTCCTTTCGGCCATTGGTTTTGGACAGGGGAGCAAGCTGGCCCAAAGGGGCTGTGGAAATAAAGTAGAGGGCTCTTCCCTTGTGCAGCATTAGTTTATATGCAGCTGTGTGTCACACAGGTGAAGTAGGATGAGTCGATCAATAACACAGAGTTTCTTTAACCCCTAGTGAGCAGGAAAGGGGCATGGGGTATACAGGCCTCTTTTCTCCTTGGTAATTGCGGTATTGCTGGTGTGTAACCAAATTTGGCCTTTTAAACTGTATGGAAGTCATCAGTTTCGACCGTCCCCTCCCCCTCCACCTGCCAAAGCTTTGCAAGGGTGCTTTTGCATCCTGTCAGATGTTTGATGTTTCACGTTTGGCCATCAGCCTAAATTGTTGCCAGCAGCACTTGGAAGGCTGGCAGTATTCCATCCTTTAAAGAAGGTTTTCACAGGTTGAGTGTTGCTTTGTATGCCAGTCTCAAGCGACATATTCAGGATTTTGTTTATAAATTATATCTACGGTTGATTGAAGATCAGAAATAAATTTCCTTTGTGAAAGAAAGGAAAGTTGTCTACAAAGCCTACTGTCCAAACTTGCATACCCAACCTTAATTGTAATCTGCTGTCACACACACTCACCCTTGCTGTATCTGTGCATGTAGGTACCAGTGATTAAAGCAATGCTTATATGAAATATAAACCCAGCCAATTTAGTGTGTGAATCTGTGAAGCTCTGTAAGGGTCATGTTGCTGATTCGGTGATCCTCATGACAAACTGTAATTAAGTGCCCTGGTTTGTTCAGTTGTTTATTTAGTACATGTAAATCTGTGGTCTGTACATACATAGAAGGTATTTTTGGTTTATATCAGGAGGGTACATTGACATCTATCTGATGCTAGACTGGTGAATAGGAAGAAGGTCCCGTCACTGGCCTGTTTGTGGAAGCTGAGATGATGAAGGCACATCAGTGGGAACATGCTGTGGTGCAGGGTTGAAGCTCCATCCCGTATGTGATAGTTATAGAGCAATTGGAAGGGTTACGTGCAGAGTGCTGGTAAAGTAAGTGTGAGTTGTGTTAAAGTGGGGATGCTGAAGTGGGATGCATGTTTTCATATGGGTTTTTAGACCATAACTGGAGGAGGGTGGGTATCAGGTAAGAGGATAGAAGTCTGGTGGAGGAGCCTTCTCTTCAAATTTCCTTTCTCTGGAAGTTTGCCATGTTAGTGTGATTGCATGAAAGCTTCATTCCTGACACCACTCCCCACTTTTTTTTTTCTAGTTCCTTATAACTTTGTCAAACTTCTGTCTTTCGAGCTGAAATTTCCAGGCCTGCTCTCTGCTCAGGCATGAAGTATTTTGAGGGGGGGAGTTTGGACAGAAATGTCTTGGCCCTTTTTTGATAATTGGTCTACTATTAAAAATTAAAGTTACAAACTTTTTAATAGTTCTAACAGTGGATTAAATGGAGGCAGAATGTAGTTGATGGCCCCAGTCAATGTTAGTTTGGATTTTAGAGTTTGAAAAAAGAATTACCTTTAACCATTTATCAACTTTCTAAATGAATAAGGGTTGCACAGTATGTTTGTGTGCTAAAAAATCAGAATTTCAGTTTATTTTGAGCCCCTCTTCTTTGACACACAAATCTTTCCAAGTGGATCTTTGGGAGTCTTTAACCATTGCAATTTTATTTGCAAAGTGCATATTGTTTTTAGTGTTGCATTGTGCAAACTGAATTTCATTTGTGGTTTGAGGTTGCGCCTGTGCAAATTGTAAAGGCACTTAGATTTGTTTTAAAAAAAGAAGCTTAGAAAGTTCCATGGAGAAGACTCTCGTGCTTACTTGGGGAGTAACTCAAACATCAAGGAAATGCCTTAAGAGCTGTTCCCTTGTGTGCATAAAATACAGTAGTACAGTCATGTAACACTGTATGCAGCACTCTTCTTCAGTCAGTGTACATTATGAGTCGTGCTCAGTGAATGAGGTAAAGAAATGGACTTGAGATCTCTGCGTTAATTTGGGCCAAGTTTTCAGCGACATCCAGAGCAGTTTAGTCAAAAGCGACTAACTTCAAATGCATTTGTACTGGGGCATCTAAGTGTATAGAAAGGTGAAATACTTACACTGGCATGAAAAAAAAATAGCAGACAGGACATAAGCCACCTTGACAACCTGTCAGGGGTGTTGTAACCATGTTAGCATGGTTAGGTATGCAGACATGATACACAAAATAAACCCGGAGATTTTAAATAGGAATCCATAGCATTAAAACCATTCTGCCCTGTTGTGGTCCATATGGGTTTTTTGCAACAGGAAAATCCCTCTATTATTTTTGTGCAGTCAAAAATAAGAGCAGACACCTTCTAAGGAGTACTTTGGATCTATCAGTGGGTGCCTTGTGCCCTAAAAGGCTGAGCACCACTGATCTAGGTTTAATTTACCTCCCTATATGAATCCTATGTATATTACACCTTGGTAAGCGAATAGTTGTCCTACCCTAAAACAAGTAATTAGCCCTTAAGCATACTTGTTTCCATTGGTGTGAGGGTCACAGCTGACCAAGGTAGAAAGTGTAGGAGGTAGAAATGAATGGCAAGTCTGTAAATAATTCATTTAAAAATTAGAAGCAACTGGGTTTACTTAAAAATAGTTTCCTCTCCATAGTGATAAATTACTGTATAATTTTGGTGGATGTGTAGAAATTGTAGGGTGTCAAGTCTTTATCTTCAGTTTTAACTGTTTAAAAAATAAATGCCTTACTTTGCTGCTATTCTTAGTTACTTTTTAGTCTGCTCATTGAATGAAATTCTGTAATGATATGTAATTGTGTAATTAAATCATGGAATCGTAGAGAAGTAGGGCTGGAAAGGACCTCCAGAGGTCATTTGGTACAACCTGCTGCATGAGGCAGGATCATCTCTATCCAAACCATCCCACCCATTCAAAAGAGAAGTTGTTAGAATCAGGGCAGATGAAGGCTGAAAGAGAAACCTACATACCTTCCTGAGCATAAGCACCTTGCTTTGCATATTGGATTTTCTCCAAGCATAGCTTTTATTGTACAGAGTTTAACTGTCACTTGTCATATGTGTAAATGAATGTTCTCAGCCTTCACTCTTATCATGACTTTTGTATTGGGATGTCTTTAATTTTTTTAAATAGCAGTCTTCATTGCCCATGAAACCACTAACTAAGCATATTGCCTTAGGGAGTAGATTCCGTGTTAGATTGCACAATGTTTTAGGTCCCCTGAAATTGCTGTGTCAGCAGAGGTTAAGCTCCTCCCATCCTCAGAGGGCTGTCTTTTGATTTCTTGCTGATCCTCAGATTGGATGGGTTTGAGTGACAATGACTTGTGGAGAAGACAAGGTTCTTGTAAGGTCCTGGTTTGAAAACATGAATGAAGTAGGGAGTGATCCATTCATCCCTTGTAGAAGTAAGGAGCTTAGAATCAGGTTGCCTGGGTTCTTTCCCCAGTGCTGAGAGTCAGCCACATCAGGAAAGTCAGAATCTCTTAAGTTCTGTTTTCAGCTTTCTCATGGGAGTTGGTTTCAGGTGGCTAGAGCAGCGGGAGGCAGGAAGCTGGGAGTTCTAGATTATATTTCTTGATCTGATGCTGGTTCTCTGTTATCTTGGGCAATTCTGTTTTCCTCTTTTTGCCTGTCTTTCCCCATGTGTAACACCCTGCTAACATCCCTTTGCTGTTTATGGTCCCTGGTGTTGTATGGACAGTGATGGGCAGTATCTGGAATTCTTACCAATTAGGGGTTGAGTTGTAGGTGATGTTGATGAAAATGTTTGTTTCCATGTGTAGAGGGTCACAGCTTCAGACGCATAGTTCCTCACCCCATCATACTCCCTGCTACACTCAGGTGATGACCTGGGAATATTGGCTGTCCTTTGGAGGTGGGGAGTTAGTCATCTTCTGGGTGGAGGTCTGTAAGTGTCAAGCTTTTAGGAGGTAGTTGACAGTGTCCCAGGCCTGTGGGAGTGGTGGGCAGCAGACTTGTTCCCTGGTGGGGTAAAAGGATCGTGGCAAAAAGATCAGAAGAAGAGCTCTGAATAAGAAACGGTAGAGATCCCAGAGAGCTGTCACCGCTTTAGCCTGTGTCTCTGAGTCTCTCTGGGTTTAAAGTTCCTCTCTTTGTGTGTGTGTGTGTGTGTGTCTTATTTTTCCCCCTTCCCCCCATGCCCAGCTAGGATGGAAGAATCTCACTTCAACTCCTCTCCGTACTTCTGGCCAACTGTGCCCACAGTCTCAGGACAGGTAAGAGCTTTGTCTTTCAGTATGGCCTATTGGTCTTGCTTCTTAGCTGGAAATTTGCTTGCAGCGAGTGTTTCCGCCCCTCTTCCTACTCATGCTGCTGGGAGAGGCCAGCTCTTGGGTGTTCTGAAATAATTATTTTCCTCACCTATTTAGATTGAAAACACCATGTTCATTAACAAGATGAAGGAACAACTATTGCCCACAGAGAAGGGCTGCAGCCTGGCTCCCCCCCACTACCCAACCCTGCTGACAGTGCCCACATCTGTAGCCCTATCCACTGGCATCTCCATGGACTCTGACACCAAGCCAGAGCAGCTGACCCCACACAGCCAGGCCCCTGTGACTCAGAACATCACTGTGGTGCCAGTACAGTCTGCTGGGCTCATGACAGCAGGTAAGGGGGCACCAGAGGCTTCTGGAAGAATGGGAGGGTGACTCCATTGTCTGAAGGGGATGAAGTGGATAGGTCCTGAAAATTCTCAGGAACCAGTATATTCATCCTGATCCTTGAAGTGACAGGTGTTGCAAGGGATTCTCATCATATTGCTTGTTATGATGCCTATTTGACCTCTAGTAACAGAGGGTGGGGGAGGATTTGGGAGGGTAGCCCTACTTCCTTGTGGATCAGGGTTGTGGGTTGATTTTGAGCTCCTGTTTTTGGAACACAAGAGTTGAGAAGGTTGGATGTCTCTTAGAAGGATGGATGTTTGACTTCACCCACTTCGCTGTCCCTGCAGGTCCTGGTCTGGTGATCACCTCTCCCTCGGGTTCCCTGGTGACCACAGCCGCCTCTGCCCAAACCTTCCCCATCTCGGCTCCTATGATTGTCTCCGCATTGCCTCATGGTTCCCAGGCTGCCCTCCAGGTGGTACCTGATCTGTCCAAGAAAGGGACTGCTGCCCTCTCTGAAGTGAGTGGGGGTGGAGGGGGTGGGGGAGTTGCCCCCAAACCTCCTCGGGGTCGCAAGAAGAAGCGATTGCAGGAGTCGGGGCTGCCAGAGATGAGTGACCCATTCGTGCTATCAAACGAGGACGATGAGGACCAGCACAAAGATGGCAAGACATACAGGTGGGGAGCAGGGCTTAACTGTGGCTGTAATACAGTGTGGGGTTGGGGGTCTTGGTGGTCTACCTTCATGAATAATTTGGGCCAGAGGAGGTCTGTACTTCCTTTCCAGGAGCTTCCATGTGTGTGCAGTTTTCAGCTGCAGAATGAATTGGGGTTTTTCTTTTCTTTTTTTTAGTTTTATCTATCAGTAAAAATTAAAAAATACGGTTAATCCACCTGTAAAGATTTCAGTGCGTGTTCCTGAACTTTCAGGAAATAGGTTATTCTGTGACGCTGCTGCCGGGGCAGCTAGTGACTAGGGCAGGGGTGGGCAAAATCTGCTCCATTGAGGGATTTTGCAGGGGCATGCAGGCAGTGGATCACAGCTCTGCCCTGGGCTCCAGCCCTGTGTTGTTACTACCCCATGATTCTGGGGTCTCCATGGAGACCAGCCAGGAGTTGTGCAGGCAGGGCATGCAGTCTGGCAGGGCGGATGGGTGGGCAGGGAGCTGTGTCCTTGGCTGGGGTCAGGATCTTGGAGGGGTGACAGCACAAGGCCTAGACCCGGGCCTGGGTCAGAGCCACAATCCGCTGCCTGGACACCCCTGCCCATGAAACCTGCGTGTATCGCAGGGCCATACAGGCAGCAGGCTGTGGCTCAGCCCTGGCCTCATGCTACCACTGCCCTGGGATCCCATGATTCCACCTTGCTCGCCCATCCTGAGCACTACTCCCTGCCTGCCTGCAGGCCACATAAGGAGTTTTTGTGAGCTGTTGTGCAGGTGGAAGAGGGAATGCTGCTGACCCAGCCCACAGCAACTCAGCAAAACTCCTTACTTGGCTCACAGGCCCAAATAGTTTCCCACCACTGGACTAGGGGCTAATGATGCTGAACCTCCCTGCTGCTGTTGTAGTGGTGAAGTGCATTTGATCTACTGCAAGATGCACTATTACCTGCTGCCCACTGGGGAGCTTGAGGGTTGGGAGCTGCAGTGCATCTGACAGCCTCTGGAGAGGAGCTCCTGGGTAAGCAGTGTAGCGGTTAGAGACAGAAGAGGAAGGAGCCACAGAGCAATAAACTTCCATGGGGCAGTTTCTGGTCATGTGCGTATTTCCTCTGCTGCTATTTTACCAAGCCCAGCAAAAAAGGGCTATTTGAGCTAAGGGTTTAGGTGTTCTAGCATGTGGGGGGAAAGACCTCATGCTCTTAACTTCAGAAGAATGTGGTGAGTTTAAAGGTCAGCAGTAGAAAAAGGGAGAAGTTTAGTAGGAAAAGAAGTCCTTGGGTGAGAGGATACGGCGTGTAGAAATTTCTAAAAAGATGGGGGTTGGGTTGCATGAAGCTGAGAGAGGTCTGGAGAGTTTTGCCTGTGTGGGAATGGGGAATAAGGTGGATTGGGTTGTCGGGGGGTAAATGAGAATGTATGTTGAATCAGTGCTAGCTAGACATGGGGGAGAGTTGGCTGGAAGTGAAGGATTGGCAGGAGGAGTAATAATTTTTTGCTTTGCCCTTCACAGTTCGGTGTTGCTTTTCCTTCTGAAAACAGAAAAGTGATGGGGGACAGAACTGGGGAGGTGATGCCCTTTTCTCTTGCCACTTCACCGTGCCAACTGTCCTGTATCCCCTATCAAAACAGTTCCATTTGCATTGCTCTGAACATGGGTTTCTTTACTGATAAATCATGCAGTAAGTTGTAACAACATTTAAAGTGTTTATGCAAAATAACTTGTTCATGTTAGGGGTTGCATTAGTTGAACTATATCAGGTTTTAAGCCTCTGAGTTTCTGAACTGGTGCAGTTAATTTGAGAGAAAATATGTGTAGATCAGCCCTCGGACTCCCTGCCCAGTGTTCCAGGTTTTCACTTAGAAAGTGTGTTTAACCTGCAAGGTAGGGGAAGGGGTGTTAGGGAGTTTGCTGTTGTCATGTATTTTATGTCTCAGCCCCAACTCCACACTACTCACAGTGCACGTACATTCTGGATCAACTAATTGGGTTGTTTAAATGTCTTGTCATAGAGAGTGCTCTTAACAGAGAACTAGAATTAAAGCTCTACTAGGACTTTAATTACAGGCTGTAGTTTGCTTCAGAGTTTGAAAAATGTCTCTAAAACAGGTGGAGTGACTCGGCATAAACCTCCATGCACATTCAATTTAAAAGGCTTTTCTCACATGGGCTTTTTTAAAAATAATAATAAAGGAGAATCAGTTCAAATGCAGAAATAGATAATACAGGAAATGGGTGGGGGAAGACTAAAATGAGGTTTCTAGAAGGATGGGGACCACAAGAGCAGTTATGCTTTGGAGAAATGGGGCTATGGGTGGAGGAGCTCATGTCCCAAGAAAGGGAGCAGAGGAAAGGAAGAATGGAGAGGGACAGGGCAGAGAAACTGATGGCTCAGGTATGACAGACAGAAGATTGCACTAGCAAGTTTCTCTGTGTTGCTTTCTGTCTCAAGTTCCACTTCTGTCCCTTGCCCCAAGGACCAGCTGGCTGATCACAGGAATGAGTATAGTAGTTCACTGAGCCCCCTCTGACTTGTTGGAGCACTGCATATCATCTGACTAGTCATGCACATTCATCAGACCCATGCTATTTCAGAAACAGAACCGTGCTCAAGAGAAGATTTTCTCTGTCAATTCCTTAATTGTGGAGATGGAACAGCTGGGCAGTATTGGAGAGGTTGGAAAGCAGGCATTTGGTTTGGGGCCTTCTTTGTGTTAACAGAACAAGGAAAATCCCAAATTGTTAAATAATTAGTGTTGTTCAGCTGATATTTATTTTGAACACAGATCCACAGATTTGAGGAAATAAAGTTTTGAATTTGACAAATTGTGCTGATGTATTATCCAGCATATAACTTGCATGTTACATTTTCTTCCTTCATGCTTGAATGTGTGACACTGTTTTTAGTAGCTTATATCTTTGTCAAATGATTTGGACTGGAAGAGAGCTTTAGCAAAACCAGGTCAGATTAGGGACAACATTCTGCTTATGTTACCTCTTCTTGCCTTAATTGAAAAGATCAGGCATTTAATTTTATTGTTTATATTGCCATAACACACAGCACCTGTGTCAGGGACTAGGAATGTCTTATGCTGCTTGCTGTACTAATACAGAACAAAAAAGCGAGATATGTCCCAGGGAGCTTATGATTAAAGTAAATCTAGGAGGGTAATGGGTCTAGAGCTAGGGACAACAAAGTTGCCTTTTTATGCAGTGGTTCTCAACCCTTTTTGCACTCAGAACCCATTGTAAACATTGATGACCAGTCCTAACCCAACAAATAGTATAAAGTAGAAATCGCAGCAGTATTTTCGCCCCAAAATACTTGTTACACACTAGAAGTGAAAGCAACTCAACGGTCTTTAATTTTAAAGACAGAAATCAACAGGAAAACATTAACAGCAGTATCAACATGTGGCTCTTCATTACTCCCAAGTGACATTCATCATTGTGCAATTCAACAATGCAAATTGCTGGTGCCCCTCATTCCCAACACAAATCTGTGGGGGGACACCTTCCCCCCCCCTCCATACCTCCCAATGTGTTGCCTGTGCACCCTGTGCCCCCATAGACTTACCTGCAGGGAGCTTCAGGAGCTACTTTCCACACTGTCTGGCTGCCACGTGTACATGACGTGGTGCCTGCTGCCTAATTGCCCTCCTCCCACTCCTCCCCAGCCCCAAGCAGCCCCTTGCTCCTTTAAAGGAGAAAATCTGTGGTTTTCCATTTTTTTTCTGTTAATGTTTGCGACCCCTTCATCCACTTTTGGGTCACAACCCACAGGTTGAAAAACGCTGTTCTAATGGAAATCCATGTTTATCATCCTCCAAAGATTCTCTTTGGGCTTGTCCAGAGCTATAGAAAAATGCTTGCTGCAAAAGTCTCTGAACATTTCATATTAATTAAGCATGGTTCTTAGGCAGTTCTCTACAGTGTCATGTAGAAGTGTTCTCAAGATCCCATTTGGCACACTTATTTGCTGAAATTTCCAACTATTTATGATCTGTTGTATGTGGGAGGGATTGGTAGAACTCTGTCATGGGGGCCTGACACTTCCCATTATAAGGTGTGGGGTGTTTTTGCTTTATTTTGTTTTTTTAACATTGCTTACAGCTTTGCTGAGCTTTAACTATTTGGCTTAAGACTCTTCATTTTGATTGTCTGCCTCTAGTAGCTCTTTGGGGAGAAATATCACCCAAACTGGGTCTGTTGTTTGAGGCAAAGGAAAAATGTTTTGCAGTGTTAGAAAAGATCACCAAACTTTTTAAAACAGCCCTAGGATCCTCCTGCTTTGGACAGACTTGGGTTTCTTTGGTGTGGCTTCCATGTCAGGCATAGCTCTTTGTCATGCATGCAAAAATTCACTTAAATTTAACCAAGTTATAAGTGTTGCTGGGGGGGAGGAATCTGCTTG